CATGAGAAATCACAGCTGACATCCTGCAAGCAAGAGGCAGGACACTTGTGCTCAGCAGCTTCCCACATGTGCAGTCTCAAGTCCCAGAAACACATTTTAGGATAAGCAGACACTTTTACCTCTTCCCAGGTCCTGAGGAGGACAGGGTGGGTGGTCTTTTCCAAAGGGCTGCAGAGCTGTCTCCTGGTGTCACAGGACCACTGGAAGGGCTCATCCACACACCAGCTTCTCCCCAAGGAGCCCACAGCCAGATCATTTCCATAGCAGGCTTTAAAAAAATCCTATCCATCATGCTTAGCAGTGTCAGCCTGCTGCCAAAGTTTGTCAGCTATAGCCTGGAAGCATCCAACTTTTTTAGGTTGGAATCCAAGCCCTCTGTTCCATATGTAAAAGTTTTAGGGCAAACACAGAGTTTGCACCCACAGTGCAAAACGTCTTGTGGGTGGTTTGCTCCCAGATGCAAAAACAATGAACAGTGTTTGAATTAGAATGTTTCTAACATGTTCATTTTATGATCTAATGGTTTTATTGTCACCACTGACGCTGCTCATGCTTCCCAGACAGCTGTAAAAGGGTGGCATCCTGGGCTGAAGCAGGAGCTGCCTTGGCAGTGACAAACCAGGCTCCTTCAATACCTGGCAGATCCACAACACAATCCCAGTCTGGGTCAATAACATGGAAGACCAACCAGCACTGAAATTCAGCTCACCTGGGGAAGAATTTGCCCTTCTGTTGCTCTGAAAGCTTTATCCTTGCTGTTAATCCCTCACTCAGCTCAAAGTAAATCGTGTGATGCCCTCCTGCCTCCAGCAGAGTCCTTGCCTTATATCTGGGGAAAGCAGCTGCTGGAGACAGCTGGAAGGACACTTTTATGATTATTACAGTAGCTGCAAAGTCATCTGTGCCATGGTTAGCACTCATGGTTTAGCAGTTTCTGTCACCAACACAAATTTTAATGTAGAAATGAGTCTGCAGGCAGCCAGGAGACCCACAGCATCCCAGCCCAGCCGTGTTTCCAGAGAGGGGCAGCTGCAAGGGGCTGGCAACCCCCTGGAAGATGCAGGAGACATGGCTGGGAGCTCATGGTTTGGTCCCTGTCAGGACGCCACAGATGTGAGAGAATGGAAAATTTAATAGTAAACTGAAAATACTGAGATACTTTTAGTGTCCTGAGATGTATCTCTAATGGCAGCACTTCAAGAGTTTGTGTCTCGTAAGATGATGTTTCTAATTTCAGAGAAAAAAAAATGTCTGCTCATTTGAGCCTTTCAGATGCACATCAGCCAGCAAGTAATTGAAGACAGTGTTTTTCTGTAATAAACCTTCATAATGAAGCACCAGAGGAAAATCCTAAAGTTCAACTCAATAAATCACACTAATCTGCAGAATGGGATTTTCCTGCCACTAATCTTGTTAGAGCTGGGGCACTGTGCAAATATATCCAAACACATAATTACTGAACAGATATTAAATGGATCGATTTATTTCAATAAAAAATGCAAACTTTGAGGAGAATTCATTAATACTCAAAATCCAGCCAGGCAATAAATAACACTAATGAACTGAGAAAAAGGAATAGATGAACAAGTACTGACATGATGTCTTATGCTTATTGCTGTTAAAGAGGAGCTGACAACTACTCCATTTGAAATATAAATCCTGCAAGGGAAATGCTAGAAAGTGAGTGAAAGACTTGTTAAAAATATGTATGTACATATATATACACACATTTTAAGAAAGCATTAGGATGAAAACTAATTTAATTTCATCCTAAGGAGGCCATATTACCATTTTCATCACCCTTAAGCTGTGTTTACATTAGCAAACAGTGCTGTGCAACAGGAGCATGAAACAGCTGCTGCTGAGATGCTGCCAGCACAGCATCTCTACATGTGTTGGGGCTTTGCTGCCAGCCAGCTCCAGGGTGGTCCTGCAGCCTGAGTGCCTCACAGAGAGCAGGGTACCCTGATCACAGAGCTGCAGGAGCTCCCTGGTCCATTCTGTCCCAAGGGAACTCCAGGGAGAACGCTCTGAAATGTCAATCAGATGACAGGGATGGTAGGTGCGGCAGCAAACACAGCATTTTGCTCAAAAGCAGCCTCCTGACTGGCACTGAAATGTTTCCTGCAGCAGAAGCACTCAGGACACTGAAAAGGGCTCACACTAGGACAGCAGAGTGCAACACTGACCCACACAACCCAAATGACCCAGTGACAACCAGGGGTACCTAAAAGAGCCTTTTCAGTAAGGGCTGTGAGACATTGTCAAGACAGAACGCAAGAACATCTTTTTCCTTGTGCTTGGGAGGTTCTGCAATTTGCTAAGAAGAAAAATCAAAACATTTGGTTTGGTGTTTTGGAACTATAACATGGTATTCAAACAGCACACTTGGAGTTATCCAGGCTGCTTCAGAGGACACTTACAGAGATTTTCTACAGATTCCTGAAAAAGAAGGAAGACATTGAGGGGGAGAGGTGTGTCCAGAGAAGGAAACAGAGCTGGGGAAGGGTCTGGGGCACAAGTCTGATGTGGACCAGCTGAGGGAGCTGGGGTCCTTCAGCCAGAAGGCTCAGGGGACACTATAACTCTACAGCTACCTTAAAGGAGGGCGCAGTGAGGTTCTCTTTTCCCAGGGAACAAGAGAGAAAGAGAGGAAATAGCCTCAAGTTGTCCCAGGGGAGGCTTAGACTAGATATTATGAAGAATTTCCTCACTGCAAGGGTGGTCAGGCTTTGGAACAGGCTGCTCAGGGAAGTGATGGAATCGCCAGCCCTGAAAGTGTCCGACAAGGTGTGGATGTGGCACCTGCTAGTTTTACTCAATCCCACAGTTCTTACAGCAAAGGAGGTGCTGCCATCTGTCCCGGTGGAAGATCCCCAGATTATTCTTCATTCCTTACCTGAAAGCTGCTCCTGTTCATTGTCTGGGACAAGAGACTTCGGCAGCTGAGCAGAAAGAAAGCTCAGATAAGAGCTGAGCCTGTTTCATTAATAAACAGTCAAGTTATTAAAAATCACAATTTCCTTTCAATAGTCTTAAGTGGGAAAATGCTGGCAAGGCACCCAAACTTCATTGAGATGAGCAGCTCAGGCTTTTACTGGTTATAAAACGAGTGATTTCCGTACAACATGATGTTATTTCCCTTGCAATTTATGCTCTCAGAGGGCAGAGAAGAGGTGGCTGTGCAGGAATTACACATCCCCTGCTCCTTCCAGCAGATGCCTCTCTGCACAAACACCACTTCCACAAAAGTCTCTGCTTTGTTCTAACCCAGGTCTCTAAAGAGTTTCTGTAAGGGCAACTACTACTGGCAACAAGCCAATAAATGTTGTATTTTTGTCATTTCTTCAAGTTTATCCCAGAACTATAAGAGGTTTCTTAGTTTCCATTCTGCTGAGGGATTCCCTTCAAGCTTTCCTTTAGATCAACGCAAGGGGGAACCTGGCAATTTCAGGGCATTTTGTTGCCAGCAAGGAGTGGGATAAAGCAGCCTGTTCTGCACAGTCTCCTCGGGACTGCAGCTACGGGCAAGTGATGAATCTGCCACCAGATGTCACCCAGAGGCCGCTCCTGTCACCTGCCGAGACTCCAGCAAACCTCTGGATTTCCTGCAGGCAGCAGGGATGGTCACAGCACTCACCACTCCTGCACTTACACCCACATTTAGCTCTGGATTTCTACTTTGGGCCCTTAAAAACGAAAAGAAACTTTCAAGCTGCAGTACATCTCCAAAGTGCTTTGAAAGCTGAAGTACACTGCAAGACCTAAAAGCAAAATGCTGTGGCTTTTGGTATCTTTACTGGAAGCCTGTTTTTTCTCCTTTTACAGAATTTTTTCACCCTGCAGAGTTCACCCTTATCTAGCTTTTACGGGAAAAGGAACAAGCTACTGAGACAGATAATGCATTGCAAGAAAACAGCAAGCGAGAAGCATCTTGTGACAATGGAACATAAAAGGTTCCCTGTCATAATAAAAACAATTATAACAGGAAAAAACCCAGCAGAATAAAAGATTAAAGAGATGAAAATTATTCGACACCTTTTACAAACTCCTGAATACACTTAAAACCTTTGCTTCATGGGCAGCATCCAAAGGAAGCACAGAGGGACACGATTTCCATTGCTTAACGTCCAGAAAGTTCCATGTACTTTTCTGCAAATCAGAATTTTGCTTTTTATCAAATTATTTACCAGAGAGAGATCTAGAAAGCACAAATTTAGCATTGCAGCTTCAGTGGTAGTGATAGACATAAGAAACTGTTATTGAAAATATTTGTTGTGGTAAAAAACCGAAGAAAATGGATGATAACACTTTGAAGAAATTTTACTTCATTCTTTCAATCTCCTAAACACAACTAAAATGTCCAGTGCTTCCAATGGTAAGTCAACAATTAATTCCTTCAGCTCTGAACAGCAGCTTCTAAAAAGAGGGATGAAATCACTCCTGTAAAAATTTCAGGTTTTTGAAACTTGTCCAGCTCCATTTAAACAAGTCCTAACTTTTCCCTTAAAGTCAAGGTTAAGCCAAAACCTTTGCCACACAGTCAATGTTCTTCTACTCTTAAAACATTCTGTCTGTGTCAATGACTTGAAAACTGAATTTGGAACTCTAAGTAAGGATATTTATTCTAAACAACAGAAAAATCAGAAGCCACAACTCAGTTGTTTATTGAGAAAGAACATCCCAACACAGTATATGAACTTTTGCTTAGAAAAGAAATGAATTTAAGGAGAAAGCAAGATTCAGACTGTTCACAAAGATCAGTTCTGTGCATACCTGAACCTTCTTGTTTCCTCTCACCCAGCCATACTTCACCAACACACACCTGGGAACAGTTCTTCTGGTTCTGCTAAGTTATGGGGAATGTTTATGTTTTCAGAACTTTAAACAGTGAAGACAGAAAATTAAAATTCCCAAACAATCAAACAAGATGCAGAAAAAGAAGTTTTCACCTCACTTGACCTCTAATCCCCTATAAATAAACGCAGTAAAAAAAAAAATCAAGTTTTACACCGGCAATAATTTAAAAATTACCTATTATTAATTAGTAATTGGATAGCTTTGCTTAGTGTGACCTATCACTGTAACCACCCAGTGGTAAGAAATGGACTTTCAGTACCTGTAATAAAACAGCTCAGAGTAAACAAAATACTTATTTCAAGAAAACATACGAAAATCAAAACTATTATATTAAAAACTCTCTTGTAATTACATACAAAATAACTATCAGAGCACTTGGTTCATACAGTGTTGCTGCAAGTTTTGAAATCAAGTTCTTGATCCAAGACAGTGCAAGAAATGGGCATCCATCTCAAGCCTGTCTGCTTGGGGACACAGACAGAAAAGATTCTGTGTGTTCAAGACAAAACTGGAACCATAAGGTGAAAGGACAGGAAGCAATCAGTGCAAAGAAGCTAAAAAGACTCCAACAATGCCAAGTTCCCTGCACTGTCCCATTAAAACACACTTAGAACATCCACAGCAGCTGCCTCCATTCACAGTGTTTTGTTTTGGGTTTTCTATTGGTTTTCCTGGGACTCAGATGTCCATTTAAACACTTGGCCCTCCCAGATTTCCACAGCCAGATGCAATGACTTCCTGCTACAGCTCAGGTGAGAGCGTCAAATGGTGTCCTGAAGAGAATGTGCAGTTTGTGAACCCCTCATTACACATGGCTGCCAATCCATATTTAAATGCAACCATGAATAACAAAACTCCCCTCTAATGACAGTGCAAAACCTGAAGGAATACCCATGAAATATTTGTTAGCTCTTGCAAAGTGCCTACAAGCATCACTTGTGTTAATACCCTGTATCTCAGCCTGCCACTCAGCAAATCTTACTCAGAGAAGAGAAACTGCGTGGCAGCAACAACCCAGCCCCTCAGCCAGCTGTGACAAAATGCTCAGAATTTCTGAGGTTCAAACACAGTCAGTTCATTCCCATCATAGAACTCTCTCAGTTGGTTTGACTCATATTTTATGGAAGGTGGTTCCATTTGCATCCCAGGCTCCAGAGCGTTCTGCCCTACTATTTTAAGGTTCACCAGTTTTATCTTCCAGGTGTTATTCCTCATGGGGCAGCTGATGAGCCCAAAGATTTGCTCAAAGATACCCAAACAAGTGTTGTCTCTGTGAACTGTGCCAGCCACTGCCACCAGCACCAATCCATGAGGGGACATGGCACATTTCAGGCCATTGGAATGCAAATTTGGGTTGAAGAGGAGACATTCTTCTTTAACCAAGGACAGCAGGCGCAGGCTCACCATGTCTGCACCCACATATTGTTCCACGTTTTTTTCCAAAGTGTTGTAACAGAACTTCAGTTTGGCATCCTCCCAAAAATGCTGTGGTCCCCATGTTGCTTCAGATTTTACTCCCAAAGGGTGCTGAGAGTTCAGGAGTTCAAAGTACCACTGGCAGAATTCTCCTCCTAGACCAACAATGTCATCTTGTGGTGACTTCTGTCCACTTCCATGACTCTGCAGTCAAGCAAATTTTTTCCTTAGAACTGTTCAGCAAGATTATCATTTAGAAAAACATCAGATCATGCACATGCTTGTATTAAACCTTTTAAGAGAGTGCCTGAAGAGAAATACCAAAGTAAAATCTCGTTTATTTTTACCAACATGATTATCTAATGTAGAGAACCAAGACAGGTTCTTTGAATTACACCTAGAAAGTGCTTCACTATCTTGGGCTCTTTACAAACAAAGAGGAAAATCCTGGTTCTACTGAAAAAGAGCAAGGAAAGGATGTAAATTGACATTTTTTGGAACTAAATGTACAGTTACTTGGTAGGTCTTCTCAGTATTTATGACTTGATAGCAAGACTTTTCTTAGAAATAAATCAAATTTCAAGTTGGCTAACACCAAAGTCTGGCAAGTATTAAATTGTGTTATAAGCACTAAGCAATTAAGTCTGGAGAATTCTGTATAGAAATGCAGTATTTGCTTCACTCCAAGTTGAAATTAATTTCCAATTCTGTTACATGGGTTAAGGCTTCCCATTTCTTCAAAGTGGTGAAGAGACGAGAATAAAGATAAAACAAATGCAAAGAAAGATGTGATAAATAACTCAACAGACTTTCTTTTAAATTTATAAATGTGTTTTAAGTACTTCATTTATGTACCGTTAACCACAGAATTTTGTTAAGAGAAACCTTTATTTTTTCTCTAATTATGCACACAGAAAATTGTTTTGAAAACAATTCACAGCTAAATGCTAACTATCAGTTAACTATCAGTTAATCCCTGAGTGAAAGCTCAGTGCAAGAGGTTCTTAACAGGGACAGAGCTCTCACAGCCCAGGAGATGGGGCTGCTGCCCATGAGGGTTCTCAACTACAGCAAGGGGGCCAACTAGAACCACAAATAAACCCCTTCAAGTTCATTACATCATGAGGATTTCCTAACTGGCAAAATTTTTACTTCTAAATAAGCTATTAATGCCAAAATACATTTCCCTACACTGTATTAAGTGTTACAAATTCATGGGCAGATTTTGCTCAGCTTTTTCTGCCTCACATGGAATTCATTGCTGCAGCTCAAGAGAACAGCTCTTACTCAGCTGAATGTTTGTTCCTTTTCCTTCTGATCAAGGGACATCTGCATGGACATTTTTCAGATCTCAAAGAGGAAACAATCATCTAAAACACAGGGATAAGGAATGTGTCCTCTGTTCCCACCAGTGCTCTGCTGTAGGTTTTCCAGATCTTGGGGGCAGGCATTCCTTGCTACAGCTCTGAAGAGAGCTCACCATAACGATGAGTTCAGTTTTTTGGAAAAAAGGGAAAGAAATGGCACTGACCTGTCACTGCTGCAAACTGCACATTTAATCAACATATAAACTCAGTAAAACCCCAAAGGCCCTTGCAGGATTTCTGTGCCATTCTTACTGTTTTCAGTTGCCCCTGAACCCACAAAGCTATTTGTGAATAACTTCTATTTTAACCTAAAAAACAATCTAAAAACTCAAAGCATGGAGAAGACCCCACACATTAGAGCTCAAACACAGGGGAAAACAGAACAGACATCTTCATATGTTGTAATTTAAAAACCAACCAAACCCACCTAACACCAAACCAAACAAGAGTTAAAAAGGTTTGGGACCTTCCTACAGGTGCAGAGCCACATTTGCACTGCTCACCCTGTGGAGGCAGCGCTGAGCAGCCGGAGGGTTTCCAGCAGCAGCAGCAGCACTCACCTGCGCAGGTTTCCTGTGCCCTGGCTCCGGGGCTCGAGCCGTGAGCTGCCCGCTCCAGAGCTGCTTCACTCGCTCGATCAGGACGTGTTTCTCCGAGGAGGGAGGCACCGAGATTCCCTGTGCCGCCAAATACTTGAAGATGATTTCTCTGTAGACTTTCCTGCGCCTCAGAAGTTCCTCCACGTTTTGGCTGTACACCAGAATGGCATGAATGGCCTCTGCAAAGAAAGAAATTGAAGTTAGAGTTATCTTCTTTCACAATAAAACCCCAAACCTAACCTATTTCTTAAACTCCTGAGCTCGAAACACAGCACAAGACAAGGGGGCAGGACCTGAAGACAAAAGTTTGTAAACTGAAATGTGGCCTCATCATATCAGACACAGAATACACCCAAAAGCTTGCAAATATGCTTCTTGGACAGGAATTCCAGTGAATGTTTCAGCAATGCACAGTAGTTTGAGAAAATGAAGCTCCACCTCCTTCCTCCTTCTTGAAGCCTGCTGGAAATGAAACTAAATCTGTTTTACTTCCACACTAATGTGATTACAACTCTCATGTTCATAAGAATATGCAGCCTAGCACAACAGTGCACTGAATGGCAACAATAAACAAAACTCAGCTACAAGGCTCTGCGGCAGAAGGAGGAAACATGACAAAACTTAAACTCTCTTTAAAGCAGTTGTAGCAGACCGTTCCCACCTGAACTGAGGCTAGCATTTAACAGGGGACCTATAAAAACCTTAAATCTAACCAGAAAGAAATAGCTAAAGCAAAACACAAAAATCTTTTCATTTAACTTACAACCACTGCAAAAAGTAGGGAAAAAAGGTAAGAGGAAAAAAAAACCCCAAAACCTACAGGCAAAAGACCTTTCAAAGAAATGTATTGGGCAAATCTTACAGGTTTTAGTTACATCACATGAAATATACTCAAGGCTGAGTACAAGCACATATATATTACATATACATACTCATCAGGTGTGTGTGTGTGTATATATATACACACCTGAGGCCACTGGGCAACAAACCCAACAAACCCAGTGGCCTCAGGTAACTCACATAAAAAATTAATTCTTAGGAAACAAATCTCAACAAAGCAATGGAGGATGGTCACAGCTGGAACTGCCCTGCAAAAAAAGTAAGTAAGTTCAATGGAGATTTGTATTGCACCCTTTCAAAACCTGAAAGCAAATGTGACTGATGCCACAAGCGAGAGACTCTGGAGCTTTCAATACTTTTCAGCACTAAGGGCCCAGCCGTGCTCGCAGCTCACTGCAGGGGTCTGACAGGACAGAGAAGCTCGCCGAGCCGAAGGTTGGCTACGATCCCGTCGCCACCGCAACCTCCTCGGCCTGAACAGCCCCAAGCTCCGAGCAGCCACCCCCCGGAGCTGCCGGGCCGTGCAGGAGAACGCTCCCGGCAGCGACCCCGAGCCCGGCGATACCCAGGCCCCCGGGGCAGCCGCAGCCGCCGGGCCCGGGGATGCGAACGCAGGGCCCGGCCCCGCTCGGAACGCCCCGGGCCGGCGGTGCCGGCGCTGCCCGCGCACCTTGGCGGCTCTCCGGGTGCACCAGGCGGTTGGTGACGGTGTCGGTGAGCGCCAGCAGCTCTTCGGTGTGCAGGAGCTCCAGCAGGTCCCGGCACCCCGCCCGCTCCCGCTCGCTCAGCCCCGGGCCCGCCATGGCCGCGCCTCGTGCAGCGCCGAGCGCCCGCCGGAAAGAGCGGCCGGCACTGAGGTTCCGCTCGGAGAAACGGCCCGGGGGGCGCACAGCGGCTGGAGGCGGCCTGAAATGTATAGATTGTGCGTGTTAAACGTATGGAGAGTTTATATCCGAGTCTATCCTTCCCTTCTAGCCCGCACTGAGGTCGTGCTGAGCTCTGGGGAGATGCCGGAGAGCAGCAGCATAGAAAGGGATGTTTGGGTACACTGGATGGGAGCCGGCCCTGGAGCCAGGGCCAACATCCGTGTGCTGGGGACATCAGGGACAGCTTGGACAGGGAGGCGATTGTCCTGGGGACAGCCAGGGGATTGTCCTGCTCTGCTCTGGGCTGGGACAGCCTTACCTCCAGTCCTGGGGCACCTCTGGGCACCACGGTTATAAAGCCATTAGAGTGTCCATGGGGAAGGGCCTTGAGGAGAAGCTGTATGAGGAGGGCTTGATCTCTTCAGCTGGACAAGAGGAAGACTCGCTGCAGTCACAACATCCTCCTGAAGGGAAGAGGAGGACAGACACTGAGCTCTCTGCGGTGACAGTGACCTGAAGTGTCAGGGAACGTTGAGGCTGGGTATTAGAAAAAGGTTCTTCTCCCCAGCACCAGCCTGGCAGAGTTCAAACAGCATCATGATGGTGCTCTTAGCACAGGGCGTGGCTCTCAGAATCCCGTGCAGGGCCAGGAGTTGGACTCCGTGATCCTTGGGGGTCCCATCCAGATCAGGATATTCTCTGATGTCATCCTATGATTCCTACCACTGGTCACCTCACCTGGACTAAGCCAGAGTCCAATCCACTTGTGCCTGAGGCAAGAACTGCATGTGCCCAAGTGATGCATGGCCCCAGGGCAGCATGGCACAGCACCTGTTTAAGGAAAAACAGTCCTATAAGCTAAAGATGCTTTTTGTTACTAAATAAATGCAAGCTTTCAACCTCGTGTTACTCTTCCACTTGGCACTGTTTTCTCTGTCAGGGGCAGACAACCAGTGATAGACACTTCATAAAAGAGGAAAGATAGACAAAAAAAGGGGATAGAAGACAGTAGAAGCTTCCACTGAACTAAACATCATAAGCTACATGCTGAGAAAAATAAAGGTGCAAAGAGTGCTTGACCTCTCTGTGGCAGAAAAAGCCAACACTCTGCTCCACCCCATGCTTTAACAGGAATGTGTAAAGAGACCACCTTTTTGTGCTAAAGCTGTCTATGATTTCAAACCCAGGAACACACAGATCCTGTAAAGACACTCAAAATAACCACGTTTGAATTACTGATGATGCTTTTACACTAACAACTGAACTCATCATTTTGGTGGGCTCTATTCAGAGCTGTAGTAAGGAATGCCTGCCCCCAAGATCTGGTAAACCTACAACAGAACACTGATGAGAACAAAGAACACATTCCTTACCCCTGTATTTTAGATGATTGTTTCCTCTTTGAGATCTAAAAAATGTCCATGCAGATGTCCCAGGTTGATCAGAAGGAAAAGCAACACATATTCAGCTGAGTAAGAGCTGTTCTCTTGAGCTGCAGCAATGAATTCCATGTCAGCCAGAAACAGCCGAACAAAATTTGCCCATGAATTTTAAATTCAACATTCAGATAAAAACTCAATCTGGAACCATCTGGAAAGCTTTAACAGAATAATGCTTATTGTCTGCTGCGCCAAACTTCCCCTCATGTGCACAATGATTTAAAATTCTTGATTAGTATCAATCCTGCCAACTACAAATTAGACAACTCATCTGAGAAACAAATTACCTTTGCTTCATTTTGCTTATGTTTCAGTAAACCTTTATTAAGATTTGGAACCTTCAAGGAGTAATGCCTATCCAAATCTTCTGGAATTCAGGGAAACAAAAAAATAACCATCAAGATACCATTTTAAAAATTAGATTGAGATCTTTGCTCTGCTTTCAGTAAGAAATCAGGGGATGAGAGGGGAAGGCAGGGAGAGGTTTCCTCAGCATAGTCACATACCCATTAATCCTTAGAGAGGAAAAGTGCACTGGCATCAGAGATTAGAGACACTTTTCAATATTCAGGACTAATGTCTCCCCACAGTTCCTTTCCTGTTCTAAACCAAGACCAGCCCTGTCAGCAGGATTATTTATAATATATTTACATTTTATCTTACTTTTTAAATCTTCCCCCTTTGGAGGCAATGGGGTGGAAAAGTGATAATCTCCGAAGTAGGTTTCATTTTCTTCTCTCCTTCTCATAACTCAAAATTCCCTTTAGAGTTTTTATTCAAACTTTTAATTGACTTGAGCATTGAGCAGGAACTAGCATTCCCAAAGGGGAAGAAACAGGAAAATAATTAGCCTATATAAACCAAAAGGTGAACAGTACTCTTGTAACAATAAACTGCTGTCGTAATTCAAGGAGTTACTACAAAGATTGTCATTGCATTTTCTCCCTCCTGTCCATCTGAGGAGGGGCAAAGGAGTTTATATTTGGTGTTAACATATTTAACAAAATATTTATTAAATAGTTTATGTACACACTGCCATTTTGATAAATATTTTTGCTGGCAAAACATACCTGAGATCCCTTACCCTTACACTCACACTTACCTTCCTCAGGCAAGGACCTTGTCAAAATTATCCACAGTAGAAAACAAAGGTAAGTTTGAAGTCACACACACACAAAAAAGTCACCATCCAAAATTTTCCAGAAGACAGTCAAAAAGCTGCAGTCAAAAAAACCTAGGAATTTACAGGGCTGTGAAAAATAAATCTAAATTACCCAGTAATTTCAGGTGGCAGTGTTGACCTTTCTGAAGCAAAACAAAACAGCAGTTACACTGTCTTGCTGTCTGAACTTGACAACCAACCAGAAGCAGAACTATCTTAAAACAGTGGTACCCTGACTTGTCTGTGGCACCAAATTTGGATTTTGAGCCCTAGGAATTAACTGCTGCCCCCATTTTGAAGCTTGGTCTGTTCAAACCCAAATATGCACACACCTGGAACATCAGGACCTGGCATCTTCACGCAGGTGCCACTCAACCATCACATACTAAACATAACACAGCAGCTCTAAACATGACAGCAGCATTTCCAGAGTGACTCTCCAAAAGACAAGATCAGTTTCTATTAACAACAAAGACAATGTTTTATTGAACAAATCTATGTACAGTAAAAAAGGTCTTTAAAATGAAACACTACTGTAGATTTATTGCAGTTTGATGGCTCAGTTTTAATTTGTACTCTTATATAAAATGCAAAGTAAAATAATTTAACATTCAACAAGGAAGCACAAATTTCCTTTCTTGCTGAACCTGTAACAGCTTTTACAAATTAAGTCCCAAAATGCATACACTGCATTTAATCAGAAAGGTGTTATACAGTACCAAATAAATTAAGAAAATAGTAACACTACCACCCCCTTGGGTCTTTTGTCCATAGCACTGGTGTTAAACAATAAAAGAAATGAGTACAGCTGAACCTTCCATGTGATATTAAAATCACAAAGTTTAATGTTATAAATTATCCAAACTATACAATTCATATAATTTTTATGAATATGGCTAAATAACCAAAGTACCAGTGACCTTGTCCCACAGATATGACCACTTGCAACCTACTTTCAGTACTCCTTTTGTCTTTTTGTGAAAGGTGCCTACACCAAGCGGCAGCTTTTTGAAATGAGAAATTCCATCACCTTGACAGTGAAACATGATGGGGTTAGAGGAGACACTCTCAAAACGAAAGTCCAAAACCAACAGAAGGAATGTCATTAATTGCACCAACTTTGATCCAACAAGGCTCCTAAGCTCATAGACAACTTCAGGCAGCTTTAGGGTAGCTGGAGGCTTCCATTACACATGTACTTGAGGATTTATTGGATCAAAGTGTTACATCTTCAAGGATTTCCAATTATATCACACAACGTTAAATGTCAGCGGAAAAACTCAGCCAAAAAACCTACAACTTTCAAGACCTGTAACCTGTTTTCAGCCTTAGAAGTTGCAGGCTTGGTATGGGGTAATACTAAAAAAAAAAAAAAAAAATTTCCTTAAAAAGCATGGAGAATTATTCCACACATGATCCAAGTATCTTTTTGCCTCTGATTAAAGTTGCTTAATACTGCAACTATCTGAGAATACCAAGAAGTATCAGAGAGTAGCTTAAAGAAAATGCAATGTCTTTTGAAGTGAAAATAATTATTTTAAAACAGTACCACCCACTTGCTACTTGAAGTCAATTTAACAGATTCCTGATAATTGTCAGATGATGCTCATCTTCACCTATATGTAAGAGCTCATATTTCCTATTTTCCAGAGTGTACACACTGAATACATGAGAGAAACAAATGGTGGTGTCCCAGAAAAGCATCTTGGAACAAAAATAACTTTAATGCAGGTACAAAAAATTATGGTCACAGCTTATGCATGTACACAGATGCATTTATCTACACACTTAAACCAAAGATAATACAAGTCTCAATCATGTTTTTAAAGCATCTTCAAATATATGGAGCTCCAGGGAAAAGGCAAAAAAGCACCAAAGATTAAAAGTTACATTAAAAAGATTTTACACAAACATCTTTTTTGGTTTTTTTTTGTTGACTCACTTTTTAGATTTTCAGAACTGTAATACTTTAACATGAACCCTTTTTTCTCCCAAATATATTTAAGCAATGTCAAGCAAAGAAGGGGGAGCCTGGGAACATTTAACACAGTACCCATGTCCTTAAAACTTAGTTGGTATCTTAAAAAATGTGCAAGTGCATTTGTCTGATAAGGACCCCATTAACTTGGTTTAAAAAATTTAATGTATTTATACATTAAATATATATATAGTGTGTATATACGTATATATAATGAACGATGCATTTAAATAAGGTTTTTTGCAACGGCAAAAAAAAATTCTTTGGTGCCTCAAACATCATACAAATCTCTGGAAGTGGGCCATAACTGGGATTCATGTAACACACACATATCTGTGATCATAATTTTAGAACCTTT